TTGTAATTATTTTATTGATAATATTTGCATTCATTACAATCAATTTCAGATTACATCATAATTTTTATCTTTGTACTTGTTTACTAAAAACTCATCTATAAATTATGAAAATATGGATTTAAATTAAGTAGAATCAAAGTTTATGTAATTTTAATGTTTTTTTAAGGGGAGACAGGGATGAAAGATTATCTCAATAAATGTCATGTTAAAAAATGTTTATAATGCAATAAAACGTGTGTTCAAAATATTGAAAATTTCAATTAAAAATATTGATCATAAAATAAAATTTAAAAAATCATTCAATTATTGCAAACAAAGATAGTACATAGAAATGATGATGTATTTACGATACTGCCATATATAGAATTATTGAAATAACTGGCAGAATACTATTATAAGTACCGTACATGCCATATATGGCAATCGTGAAAAATATATAGATTTGGCGATTAAAAATAAACTGGAATGTTGAACACTACTAAATATGGTAATAATATGGGCATGGACATCATCAGAAAAAATAATACAATTCTTGAAGTTTATGTTAACCGCTGTCCACTAGTCAAGGTGTAGTATGCCCCCTGCATAGCTATGAGCTGTTTATGCGTTCCTTGTTCAATTACACGACCATCTTCAATCACTAATATCTGATCAGCAGACTGAATTGTTGAAAGACGATGCGCTATTACGATGCACGTTCTTCCCTCCATGGCTTTGTCCAAGGCATTCTGCACAATCTGAATATAAACATGTTAAAACTTCATTATTTACAATTGTGGTGATACAAGAACTGCTATACATAATGTACTGTATGTGGAGCAGAGTGTGAAACAATCATGCTATCTCTCAATGACAAAATATTCTCAAAAATCATTCACACCAATCCTAGCAGTAGCATAAACTTTGTGTTGTTTACCTGGATTCAGTAGCACAAAATGTCATGAAAGGTTTTTAAATACTTCCACTATTTTTGTTATGCCAGCAAGGCACTTTATAACAATACTAGCTAATGGTATGAAAGCCAGCAAAAAATGGATTATTAAATAGAAAATTAAATGCTTGTGGCCAGTGTTTCTTTCCTTGTTTGACCATATTTGGACAAATGTTTTTGAATTGAAGCAACATTTCTAGTCAGGTAAAATGTCTTGTTGTGTGAAATACCGAAAAGTATGCACGAAAACAGTACAGTGGGAGTATCGACCAACATGCAGCGGAGGTCGATCCAATGGCATACTGTCTGAGTGCATACTTCGTGGTATCCTCGTAATAACCTTATTTTTATACATCTTTTCCTCCCAGGAATACATCATGGGAAAATCCAAAAAGTTTAGAACAGAACTAGCTGACTTCTTTGTGTGTGGAGCCCGGTCAAACCCTGGGAGCTGCCATGTTTGTTTTTAATATTAGAGGTCGCTCATGCGCGTAATCGCTCCATATTTGGAATTCGCATTTCCTAATATGGTGGGATCAAAATACCCAGTGCAATACTTCAAAATTACGGCACGCTGTAACTTATGACGTTATGATGACAGATATAATATACAGGTATAATAATACATATTATGTTGTGTGATTACATATTATGCAACTACAATATTTGCATAAATCATCAGAATTGAGATTAATAACAAAAACAGCAGTAATTAGTTATTTCTCATCAATTAATCTGAATATGCAAATGTTAAAATTAATCCCCACCCCCACATGCATATAGTGCAATGTAACATAGCTTCAAAAGTTGAATTTCTCCTCATAATGCATTGCACATATGCATGCTCAGTGGATTAAAATCTTGATAGGTATCAAGAATTCTCACCTTTTCACTCTCTGTATCTAATGCTGATGTGGCTTCATCTAGGAGTAGTATGGTTGGATTGGTTATCAGAGCCCTCGCTATAGCCACTCTTTGTTTCTGACCACCTGACAATAAAGAACCTTTCTCTCCAACAACAGTTTCATACCCCTGTAATCAAAAGTCATACGTACAGTTACAGCTCAGTTTTACAGTAAGTTTAACACAAAATAAATGTACCTGATACAATTATGTGTGCACACTCCACCTGTGAAAAGGTGTGAAACTCTGGAAAGTCTTTTAACAAGCTTCAAAGAACCTGAATCTGTTTCCCCAATAGGGAACTATTTTTAATCAGATCAATAAATGATTGTGTATGTGTGCCGTAAGATTTAACTCACAAGTATTTGAACAAATTTAGACCATAGATGGTTCGGTAATAACATTTTTGAACAAAATGTCCATACATATAAATAATGTAATATTTGAGTAGGATAATCAAATCAATCTTTGAGTATGTAATAATCTTTACATTCTAAAATTTATGCAAAAAAAATGAATCAGGAGGTACATGTATATTCAATTATTACTGTATTTGTTCTATTAGAGACACACATAAAACATTTCTTTATTGTATGCTGGAACTTCTAAATATGACAATATTTTGATCACAGCCACTACCGTTATCGTTTATGTAAGTCACTATAAATACAGCAAATATGGTGAGAATTTTACAATTACTCATAAATATAAATTGTATTTATTGTATATCAATATTAGAGAATTTATAAAACATTAAGACTATTGTGATTATTTGTTTGTACCTTTGGAAGTGATACTATAAAATCATGTATGTTAGCGGTTTTGGCAGCCTCTTCAATCATAACATGGGGAATGTCTTCTTCAACACCATATGCTATGTTCTCAGCAATTGAACAGTTAAAGAGAATTGGTTCCTGACTCACAACACTCATCTGATGTCTCAACCAATTCAAATTAATATCACGCACATCTTTCCCATCAACCATCTGTAAAAGTGGAGAGATTGGAAAAAAAATTAATGACAGATTTATTGAGAATAACGGCAGACACAGACAACTACTACAAACTAATACAAATACAGATTCAATAAAATACAACTCAATAAACTACAAATTGGGCAAGGGACCCACCTCAACCCGCCATGATAGCATGTGCCCCTGAGCACTGGATTTTGGGATCAGAATGAAGGAGGGGGAAAACCTGCATGAGGCCACCCAACCTTGAAATGGGGGTCAGGATGAAATCTAATGCCCAAACGAGGGAACATGGCTGCTAGTGGAGCCGAAGCGACCCCCATGAAATAAAGAGACTGAAAATGAAATAATGGGTTAGTAGAGTGACTCAAACTTGACCAAGGAGTGGTGCGGAGGGAACGGATGTTCACGGTCTGCGTGGTCTGCTCAAGAATACGATAATTAAACTGTGAACTTCTCATGGCCCAGAGGACATGAACTGAGCGACACAGGGGGAGGTAGCAACCTCGCAGCCTGTGGGGCAGCTATGTGCGGCCTGGAGGGGGTGGGGGTGGTTGGGCGACATGGAACTGTGAAATACAGGTGGAGGGAAGTGCCTCGGGCCTGTGGAACAGCCATGTGTGGCCCATGATGCTGGTGGCAAATGTGCGAACCACGGTTCTATCTCTAACAAGCAATCATCACGAAATCTGAGAGGTTTACCTGAGGTACCTATATGTATAGTATCAAAGCAATCAGACCTGTGGTTTTTAACAAGAAATCAAAACAAGCAGCCTGTCGGCTGAGATAGCTCTGCTGTTAGCAATGCACATTTCAATTAAGAACTAGAGATATAATTAGAAAATGAACAATATGTACAATGTATAGTATCAAAGCAGTCAGACTTGTGGTTTTTAACAAGAATTCGAAAATATCACTTTTTACTCAAAATGACAAAAATATTCATCAAAATTAGAGAATTGAATATATCATCACAAAATGAAGAAATTTGAGAGAGGTCCACATGTAGTACCTAGATACATTGTATGTATAATCAAAGCATTCTGACTTGCGGTTTTTAACAAGAAATCGAAAATATCACTTTTTACCAAAAATGACAAAAATATTCACCAAAAATAGAGAATCTGAGATTTTGACATGAAATGAACAAATCTGAGAAAGAACCATCCAAGGTACTTGCATATCAAATTTGAAATCATTCTGACTTAATTGCGGTTTTGAAGGAGAAGTTGAAATTGTAAAGTTGATGACGGACGCCGATGACGGACAATCAGTAATATGAACAGCTCCGCTGTGTTGACAGCGGAGCTAAAAAACTACTTCTATTTGTCAAATCGTGTTTTAGGTTTGATCTCCTGCATAATATAGGGTCTTGCACTTAACGGAAAATGGTCTGTTACCATTTGACGATTGTTTGTCTTGTAATAATTAAGAAGGTGGCCATATTCAAGTCATAACATGTAGTTTTCCATAATTTTTTTTTTGCAT